AGAGGGAATAATACTATGCAAAAAGATACAGAGGCAAGAGTTCCCAGGGCATTGCACTGATTTATTCAGTTTGACTAGTGATTTGGATACACTCAAATGACACACAGGAAATACTGGAAAGAGCACCAGATGTGGGCCAGTGACAAGGGCACCAAATGCTATGGGCCTTGCTAGTTGGTTGTCTCAGGCTAAGGCAAATTAGGCACTTCCCAGTCCCCAATTCGTTTCCTGTAAATAAGGGGGTTGAACTGGAAAATCTTTAAGGTTCTTCTCAGTTCTAAAAGTCTGTGTTTCACTATGCCACATCATTTACTCAAGGCAAAGAAGTATACAGATTGTGTGAAAAATAACTTCAGAAAAAGCTTTAAAATTTTATGTTTTTTGATGGCATGAAAAAAAAAATCATTTCAAGAGGATTATATAACTAGCGCTGAGAAGTCCTGTGGAGCATGCTGCCTCTTGATCTTTTTTTTTGCCAAGTGGAGGATAAAATGGGAAAATAGGAAGGCAAGGTATCTTATCCCATACCTTCTACCCACAACCGCCATCAACTGTTTTTCTTTTGGTAGCTGATGGAGGTTCTAAGAATTAAAGGTACTGCTGGCTGAAGAAGACAGCCTAGAGACTCTTCATTGTCAGGAACCCAGAGGGTCAGCAAGCATCTTGGGAAGGGTTGGTTTCAATATTTAAAGGTTGAATCAGAGAGGCACATACTGATCAAATCCATGTTTGAGAATGAGCACTTTTATCCTTGGTCAAGCAGCACGTTTGCTGCTATTTACACGGACCGCATACAGTGTTAAAAGAGCCTAATTAAGCTCTAGTTCCTCATTGCTGTATGGCAATGCAGGCCAAGTCTGGCTATATCTTCCCATTATTTCAAGAGAAGTAAAAAATAGGATTTTTAAAAATCCACCTATTTTTAAAATGTTAGTAATAATTAAAAAAAACAAAACAACCACAGTAACAACAGAAAGCTATTCAAGGCCTATTCCGCTCTCGTCTGAATCTAAGTTAGAAGGTTCAGCAGGATGAAAGTAAAAATATTCAATATAATTGTAAAAGGACCAAAGAGGGTTGTTCACTCAATGCTATCAGAACACTTAGCATTTAGGAAAGGGAGAAGACCTCAAAGAGGTGCCATTTTATCTGGATTTTATAGAATTTATTATAGTTCAGTTACGTTTATAAAATAAGATGCTGTCAGAGGAAACTGGTTTACATAGATTGCATGTAGCCAACTTTAAATCTGAATGTTAAGACATCAGAGAAGCTCCTTTCCTCCTGGGAGATGGAACATCTAAATAGCAGGTTCAGATTTGTTTCTGTTTTTATATATTTACAGAAGTGGGAATTTAGAACTACAAAAGACTTTAGAGCTGACTTAGTCTTGCAGTTAATCTTCAGTTAATAATATTTAATGCTGATATTGGAATACGAACTTGTTAGAAACTGTTCTAGGCGCCTTCCCTGTATTCAGGCTTACACGCTACTTAAAGCTCAGGCCCTGGCAGCTGCTGATCAGATTTGTGACCTGGAAAACAGGGGAGCCTCGGGGTTTTTTTTTGTTTTTTTTTTTTTTAATTTTCTAAATGGGATCAAAACTCAACCTACTTCAGAGCATTGTTGTGAGGAGAAGGAAGAAGACTAATTTTTTTTTTCACGTTGTAACATAACTCGGACTCTTTGGAGTATACACAATCAAAACTAGAGCGTATTTTCACCTTTCTTTGAGCATCAGGGTTACTGGGGGTACCATTAACTAAAATGACAAAACCTGATAGAAAAGCAGGCTGATATATAAAAGACCAAGGGTTCTATTTTTGCCACGTTAAGTATAGGACGTCTATTAAACCAAAGCCTTTTTAAACAACTGCTACTTAGACACTCATTCATCAAATAAAGTAAAATATACCAAAAAGTGAGCAGCATTGGTTGATGTAAAAATAGGAATCACATAAGTAAAACATTGACTTTTATGCAGGCCAGAGAAAATGTTAAAGTGTTTTTAAAAAGAACAACGTAATATGCATTCATTTATTTCTTTAGTTGTTTTTGTTTTATCAATACTCTTTATGGGTAGTTTAAAAATAATATATTAGCCTGCTACCTATAATATTAACATTCACAGAATAGTAAAGCTGGGAGGAGATTTAGAGATTATCTAGCTCAAATTCCATATTTTAGAAATGGAAACTGATGCTTCAGGTGAGTAAGTGGCTTGATCAAGGCAACACAGATGGTTGATGGAAAGAATAAAGAATGAAATTGTCTTTAAACACTTAGCAAAATTTTATGTGAAGTTTCATTTTGCAGGAAACACACAATTCAAATTCTCAAAGTCAGCTCGAAATTTTCTTTATTTCTACAAATTCCATAAATAAATAGGATGTCTATATGTTTTAGAGTAGAGACTATAACCTTCTGTTCATAATTTCACAATTTTTAGTCACTTATGAGAACTTTTATAAAGAGTTTAAATATAGACACACATAGTTAATTTAAAATCACTTAGGTACAAAGGCAGTATTTTTAACTTATTAAATATTTGTGAGAAAATATTTGAGATAAAGGAGGGAAAAACAGATATTTAGAGAGGAAAATGTACTGAACTATGATACTCTGCCTCTTCTTAAGGGAATAAAAAGACTATGATTTCTAGAAACAGTAAAAATGAGGAGAGTACAAGCAAGTTGCAAATAGATAAATATTCTAGCCATGGAACTAATGCCAGTTTGTTTCATTCACGAAGCAAACATTTATTAGGCTCTGGCGATGCACACGGCCCTGTGCTTGGCACACAGTGAGCTTTCAACAGATGGAATGAAGGATCACACGGCAACAGGGAAGAGGAATTGGCATGACTCCTCAGTCCCCCAGTACTGAGTACAAATTCCCCATCCCACCAACTTGCAAGTATTGAAAACTATGAACTTTAGGGAGGGAGGGAGAGGCAATAGGAACAAGAGATAGAGGAAGGGAAAAAGGAAGTAGAGGAAAAGATGAGTAAGCCACAGATGTGTCAGTGGCCACTCTAAAGACCCAAAGTTATAGTAAAGCTTTTTTTTAAAATGCACTAATAATCTTCCTTCCTTTCATTTAAAATATTGAATATTCCTGTGCCCTGAGGCAGAATAATCATTTAAAATATGTTGGAGTAAAAATGATTAAATTAGCTTTATTTTTCAATTATAGAATTTACAAGAGGATATAATTCAAAAGAAAATTTCGAAACTTGGTTAATAGGAAGAATTAGTTTCAGTTTTAGAGCTTATAGCTAACAAGTGAAATGGAAATGTTCCTAAGTTTCCTTCAGCCTAAGAGACCATGGTTTTTGGAACATATGTCTTCCGAGAGTTTTAGAGATTGTAATGATAACTTTGACTGCAAAATTTTAGCACTTGGCATCCTCAGTCAGCCAGTCTGTGCAAAAATTTATGTGGCTAAATGACTCCCTGGAGAGGATACACCTAAGACACTGAGCAGCTGGGTAAGTTCAGATGTGCTTGGAGAGAGAAAGCCTACTCTAAAATATAAACTCAAGATGGACTTGGGAAACATTTTCAAAATAATTGCCATTTTTGTGGGAAAAAATATATATTAAAATGCATCCTTCTTTAAAAAGTTAGTCAATAGATTTAAATTTTCCATAGCTGATTTTATCCATGTAACTGAAAAATATTTGTTTCTGGAGTTTGAGAGACTTCGAAAGGGGTAAGGAGAGAAACTTGACCACCTCGAGTGTCCTTGACAGCTCCAGTGTCCTTGTAGAAGCCTTCCTCATTTTAATCAAGTTACACATCTTGACACTGGCTGCTGTCTAATCATGCGACTCATAAAAGTCATGATTTAATATATGTGTTTCCCTTCTACTGGGTAATTCTGAGGCTTGGTTCTGCTACCACGCTTACTAATGGTTCTGGGGAACCTGTTGAGAGTGGAACAGTGGATACACCTGAAAAACATTTGACTAGGCCCTTCTTTTCTGCTGGGACAAAAGAAGGGTTTCTTCCTAAGTCACAAATCTGTTCTGAATGTTAATTAAGTATTTACAAGGTATTTTAGAATCCTCTCTGAACGTTTATATGAAAATAGCAACCTACGTTCATTTGAATAAGCAGAAATTTTTGTCCTTCCACATTAAGGACCTCTGGCCTCTAAGTTTAATTCAAATAATTCGATGACTTGAAAAATCAAAAGAATTGAGTACCTACTATGTACAAGGCCCTGTGCCAAATGTGGAGATAAAAATAAACTTTCCAGGACAAGGAAATTTGTCATAAGTTACAACATTTCATATTATTTAATTCACATCATTTCCCTGTGGGCTTAAAAGCTAAATTAGATGCAAAACACTCACCTTTTTAGCATTAAGCTTTTACATTGCTCCTTAACATACAACACTGTATCTGATTACATAAAGACGCAGTATTTTCTACATATTAACATATATTTCCACATTTTATTCATTAGATTTTTGAAAGTATTTTAGCATGAAGCTTCCATTTATTGTATCCAAAAATAAAAATAGCATCAAAGTCTTTTTGCAACTCCCAAAACACAGTTAGGGAATAATGATCATACGCTAAAAAACGTAAAATGCAATTTGTGCTGTGCCCCATTTACTACAAAATCACTACGAACAATGCATTATGTACAGTATATTGCTCCAGGGAAACTGGATCAGCATCAGGAATGAATAAAGAACATTGCATTTGAAATCAGCTAATTCTGCTTCAGCGCTTTTAAAAACTATTTGTTATGGTATTGCTTCCTGTCAAGCACATAATGTGATATTTTCCTCAATAAAACTAAACAGTTGCTGTAATTTCAGCTTTCCTCATTTTCCACTTTTTAAGCACTAAATATTTAAACAATACAGACCTGGAAGTCTCAAGCCAGTCATCTGAGCCACGCATCTCCTTGACTAAGGGACAGTAACTATCCATACGGGGGCCTGTTCTGTCACAGACATACGCGGTAGCTGTGGAGGTCCTTACCTGCCCGCAGGCCAGGCCCATTCCTCTTTCTCCCATGCCATGTGGACATGATAAATTTAACTCCAGGGCATCTGCTCCAGAAGCCTTTAAGATGTGGAAGGAAAATGAAAGGAAAAACGAGGCTTTACTTGTGTGCTGATATGCTTTCACAACTCAACACAGGTCACATTTGTCAAATTTTAACTATTCTGTTTTTTGCATCACAGCTATCTGGTGAGGTATATTCTGACTCTCTCAAATTAGAGTGTGTATAACAACAACAAGAGTGTGTATAGAGCATGTATAATAACAACAGCAAATATTTATTAGGTGCTTAGAAGGTGACATCCACTGTTCTAAGTGCTTTATATTTGTTCTCTCTAATTCTCATAATCCTTGGATTATTAGGATACCAATTTTACAGACAAGGAAACCAAAGCACATGGAGTTAAATGACAAGCTGGTTATTAAGTGACACAGTAGAGATTTTAACTTAGGTCTGTTTCACATCACATTTACTCTGCCCTACAACAGCTTCTATTTTTACAGAAACAAACCTTACTAATTCTAGATAATTGGTATTGAAAGTAGGAGTGCAAAGAAAAATGTAGTAGTAGGCTAATGGAATGAATAAGAGTAAAATTTAAGGGCCGGCTGGGTGGTGCAGCAGTTAAGTGCGCGCGCTCCGCTGCGGCAGCCCGGGGTTCGCCGGTTCGGATCCCAGGCACGCACCGACGCACTGTTTGGCAAGCCATGCTGTGGCGGCGTCTCATATAAACTGGAGGAAGATGGGCACGGATGTTAGCCCAGGGCCAGTCTTCCTCGGCAAAAAAAAGAGGAGAATTGGCAGATGTTAGCACAGGGCTGATGTCCTCACAAAAAAAATAAGGAGTAAAATTTAAAATGTTTTTAACTGAAAATCAATTTTATTGTATTCAAAAATAGTCCATGACAAGAAACATGAAGCACAGATAGTTTTGTCTTAATTTAATAATTAAATAGGAATCCTTCTTATTTAACTCATTGATTCATTAGTAAACAAATGAGTCCTGCAAAAATAAACAAAATAGTTCATTCTAAATATTCTTAGAATACTTGGAGAAACAGAGTTTTTGAGAAGTCTTCTGTGAAAAACAATAAGAATAAGCAAAACACATTTTTATAGTTTAATATAGTAATTTGAGGGACAGGGAGTAAACTAAAGGATTCAAATTGTATGTTCTTTTACCCAACTTCTAGAATTTCTACAATGCCACAATTGCTTTTTAAGTGAGGTTAACTAGAAACTTCAGTCAACCTCCATAATATTATAACATGTCTATCACATTATGCAAAACCTTAAAAAAAAGTTCAATATTTTCTAAATATGTCAGGTCTTTCTTTAGGTCAACAGCTGCTTCTTCAAGGTCTCCCTTTTCTTCCTAATTGTTCAAGATTTTAGCCTATTTTTTCCTGCTTTATGAATTTTAAGTAGGACTTCAACAAACTTACGAATCCTAGTTAGCTACTTCTCAGTCGACTTTCTTGCTCACCTTTATTCATTAGTGAGTCTGCTTTTTCTTCTGCATATTTGTGAAAGTTCATGTGATCATTCAGCCTGTTTTCTAACACCGTTCCACTATGGTTTTTGCTTCTCTAATTCAGTTTCAAAATGCTTCATGTTATTTGAAAATTACCATGAATCGTGTTACTTTTTCTCCTGCTGGTATCACAGTGAGCATGGACAAAGCATATGACCCGCTAAACTCAGAGTTCTAGTCGTGGGTTTGCTAAGGAATTGGGGATGCTTTGGGCAAGTCAGTTAACCTTCATTGTCTCCATCTGCTCAAGTGTAATCCGAAGATAATATGATCTATCTCAAAACCATGTCATATGGGAATTACACACTTAATTAAAAGATTGCACATTGCAATTATATACAATACTGCACTTTTCTTATCATTTCTTAGTTATTTCAAATATTTCCTTTAGACTTCGTTATTTAGCCGAAATGCAGCAATTTATAGCAAATCAATTCAACAGCATTTCGGATTAGATAAGCTTTAGGTGGTATATATATATGATATATATTTCCTAAAATTTAAATGCAGTCTTACAAGAATACCTATCATAGTAGATAATAATTAACTAACATTTATTGAGCATTTACAATATTGCCAGACCCTTTGTTAGGCTCTACTTTGTAGTAGGATATATCATTATTTACATTTTACAACTGATAAAACTGAGGTATAAAGAGTTAAAGGGACTGGGGCGGGCCTGGTGGTGCAAGCGGTTAAGTGTGCGCACTCCAACCGGCCCGGGGTTCACCGGTTCGGATCCTGGGCGCGCACTGACTCACTGCTTGCCAAGCCATGCTGTGGCGGCGTCCCATATAAAGTGGAGGAAGATAGGCACGGATGTTAGCCCAGGGCCAGTCTTCCTCAGCAAAAAAAGAGGAGGATTGGCAGATGTTAGCTCAGGGCCAATCTTCCTCACACACACACAAAAAAGAGTTAAAGGGACTTACCCAACATACCACAGCTTATAAATGAGAGTAGGGTCTTGAACCCAAGCATTTTGAGACAAGAGCCCGCGTTCTTACCCACTATCATAACTTATTAGAAATCACTTATTCCATGACTAGAGTTCTTAACAGTATGTTAAGAAAAACACAACTCAACATCCTGAAAGCTTCTGAACTTGAAGTAAAAATTAAAGTCTTGTAAAACCACCTATCCAACTGAAAATCTTTTCAGTGACTAATTATTAAAAATTTCCTCACTATTATACACATACACAAACATCAACCCACCAAACACACATGGAAAGACCTTCGAAATGAGAAGCCAGGCCTCAAAAACTGAGATAATCCTGTTCAAGGTGGCACTAAGAGATCGGGAACATTCACTTGGCCTCCGCTTGAATATTCCTGTCACAGGATGTACACCACCTTCAAAGGCAGTTAATTCCATTTCCAAGCAAGTATAACCATTCAAAAAGCCTTAATTGCTGAATTAGCATGAAATGTTAAATTAACTGAAACTGGGCACGCATTCTGACTCCTGTTAGTCACAAGCTTTTTAGTGTAGTCACTTAGCCCAGAGTTTATTCTACCTCACCTAAATGATTATACGATAAAGTAATCCAGGGAAGGTAGTGACATAGAAAATTTGCTGTTTCTAATTTCATACATTATCTATTTATCATCCATTTATCTCTACGAAGTAGAATGTACATGTTAATAGCATGGACTCTGGAGCCAGATTTCACTGGTTTGAATCCCATTTATACCACGTCACTAGCTGTGTGAACTTGGGCACATTATTCAATTACTTCTTGCCTCAGTTTTCTCATCTCTAAAAAGTAGAAAACAATGGAACTAACTCCTTTTTGTAAGGTATAAATAAATTTAATAAAAGTAAATGACTTGGAACAGTGCCTGGACTGTGGTAAAAACTATGTAAGTGTATGCAATTATTATCTATCTAGCTAGCTAGCTAGCTAGCTATCTGCCTGCCTATCTATCCATCCATCCACCCATCCAACTAGAATCTCAGACTTGCCATTCCTCAGCCTTCATCTGAAAAAGGATTTAAAGTAACTCATGTTGCACTATATTATCTATACCTCAGGGGTGGGGGGTGGAACTATTCTGAGAAATTCTCAGAATAGTGCTAGCAGTATAGTTTCTAAAATTCTCTGAATCACTTTATAAAAACTCTCAGAGAAACCAGGGTAGCAAAACCACAAAGCCTTATATCGTACATACAATAAAATCAAGCACCAAGATCTTCTCCTTCTCCTTTCCTTACCGCCCCCCCTTCCTGATCAATGTAGTTCTAAAGTCATTGGGTGGGGCAGAGCAAGGTAGGTGACTGGGAGGATCTGAGGAGGAGCCACGAGAGCCCAGTGTGGGGTATAGAGTCCAAGTGCAGTGAGAAGGATGTCCATGTGGAGGGTGGCTTGGTGTAGTGTATCAGAGCCCAAGTGGGAAGGGACGGCTTCCATGGTTATTGGGAGGAACAAAGGGCATCAGAGCCCAAGCAAGGTGAGGAGGATGTTCCCTTGGTGGGGCATGAAAGGTACATTTCTTGGATTCTCTCTTAATTTCTTCTGTTAAAAGAATACGCAAGGTCTAATGTTGACTTTCTATGTAGCAACACCGTCGTCTAGTCTCAAGTATCCAAAACTGGAGACATAAGTTCTCTGTGTAAACCACTCTGAAATAGACCTGAAACAAGTAAACACTGAACTGGCCTGGGCCTCACTGGACACTAAGTCAGTGACTGTCTCTTGTCTCCAACTAGCTGTCCATCTTTCCTGATTCCATTCTGTCCTGCTTACCATCCCTGTTTAGGGACTTATATCCAACTGGTCCTACATATTTTTGTAATGTTCCTCTGTCTGCTTTTTACCCCAGCTATTTGAGATCTCCGAACTCTAACATCTATTTAATTTTATGACATACTGCTAGCCCAGGTTCAGGTAAAAAATGATGAGAACCTGGCTTCTAAGTGATTTATTTTCACTCTCTGCTAGGAATAGTGTGGCCCCTTGGTTTTGATACCTATACCTCGCCACTGGACCTGCCTTGTCTCATCCTACCAGTTATGGTCAGACCTGTGGCAATCCCTCATCAGGTCTCTGACTTAAAAGCTTCAGGTTTGGATCTTAATCACCTCAAGGTCATTGGTGCCAAATAAAGTGCCACTCTTCCCATTTATTCTGTAATGGCTCATTTTTGTTTGTCATATGCCAATACATCAGTTCTGCACCTCTATTTACTTCGTTCAACAAATATTTGAGAACTATCCACTGGTGCAAAGCCCTGTGCTTGGAATTGAGGATTAAGGAGTAAACTAGACAGGGGCCTCTGTCCCCATGGAGCTTGCTTTGTAATAGGCAGGACAGAGGTGAAAGAGGTAATTTAATCACCACTCTATTAAATGTTTTAGAGGAAAAGCACAGGCAGATGCCCAGATTTTGGGGTGCCTGAAGCTTAAACAATTCGGGGAAACTTCATTGAGAAAAAAATAATTAAAAATTACAAAGACAAAATTAGGTATTGGGGCTTAGAGATGGCTTGTGCAAGTAAGGGACTTGAGGCTTAAGCTTCATATGGCTTTATTAACAAACTCAAGATGACACTGGGGAGGAAGGCAGGAGCCAGATCATATAGGACTTATAGGTCAAGTTAAGGGTTCTGCATCTTAAGAAAGATAGTGGGAAGATTTTGGATTGATTGAGGGCAAGAAAATTTGTGTAGCTATCTTAGATAAACTTGGATTAGGGTGGTAGCAATGCATATTGAGCCACACTCAACTTATATGCTTCCTCAAATCTGATGACCTTACTTGCCACCAAAGCATTTGCCACCAGCTTGAAAGGGAGCCCTAGCCCTTGCTAATATCCTCACATCTCCTCTCCTCACATCCAGCTCCCTCTGGATGAAAGCTGAGCTTGGTCACTGCCTCTGTTGTACCTATCGAAGCGTGAGCTCCAAGAGTGCCAGGGCCCGGGCAAGACCAAGAGGCTGTGCCCTTTCCCTCCAACTCTGGGTTTAGACGGAGCATCTCACAAAATGGTGGGATGTGGCTTTCCCAGCAACTGTCCCAAGGGGGCACAACACATAACTCAAAAGTACAGAGAAAAGTAAAGCTCTGTGGTGTGAAATTTGACCAATGAGAGACAGGAGATGGGAGGGACCCAGTAGAGACATTCCTCCTCCTTCTTCTCCTCTAAAGTGTTGTCAGGCAGGATGATTCCATACAGCACTCTGTCCCACACGACTGAGCAATTGGCTCCTCTTCCTGGTGAAGTGGGAGCCAGCTCTGTAATGCACCATACTGTATCTGCTTTCCCTTCTTCCCTGTCTCACTTTTCTTTTCCTCACTTTTACTGCTCTGGGATTGTATCGTTCAATAAAGCATCTGCACATTAACTTTCACTCAGGCTCTGTTTTCTAAGCTAGTAGACATTAAGAAAGAAATAGATTCAAGATCTATCAAAATGAGTTCAAGATCTATTAAGACCTAATATTGTGAGCCTTCAGTATGGTTCAATTTAGTATATATCCGATTACATATTTAAACTGTGAACACATCTACACAGCTGAGACTGTATCTTATTCACCTTTGTTTTGGCTGGCCAGGGACTTTGCACATAGTAGGTACTTCACAGATCTTCCTTTGCGTGGAATTGGAATAGGTTATCAATGTCCCAGAAAAGTAGGAGAGACTATGATAAGATACCTGGACCAAGAAAATTGATCAGAGCCTAACAATGCTACTGATTTGACACCAAGTTGTGAAAACTTTTCCAGAGACTGCTTCTTTTTTATGGTGCTGCAAAAACATGATAAATTCAAATCAGGTTGAGGAATGCATAAGAGAAGACATTAGAAGTGTGCATATTCTAAGGCTAAAGTGAAAAGAAAGTTTTTTTTTCAGTATGGTTCTATTGCCAGGAAAAAACAAAGCTTTCTCAAGAATATACATATGATCAAGAAGATATACTGGCTATACATTAACTTTTAAAAACAGCATTTAGTTGAATTTACCATATTTGAAGAATATACCTATATTCTATTTTTTTAAATCACCCACATGGTCTTAATTGTTTATTCAAAATAGTAAAATAAAATGGTAGCCTCTGGTGAAACAAACAAACAACAACGATCCCTCCTTGTACAGATTTTCATTCTAACGTAGTTTCTCAGTCTTTATATTTTCATGTTCTTGTACAACTGGATCTGTTCTGCTGTTACACACGTGTCATTTCTGTTTTCAGATATAATAGTAATGAACTGATAGCAGGTTTCCTCAATTCCCTACTGTGTAATTCAAGAAATAATCTACTATAAGGAGAGGAACTTCATGAATTTAAAGTATATCCATCACCACATCGTCATTTGCTGAACTTAAAACTTGTGGCATGTCAGAACTGCTGGTGTGCTATCTCTGATTTCTTACAGCCCATTATCATCACTCCCAAAGAAATGTACATTGTAAGCAGTATAGTAACGGACCTGAGTACTTTCTTGTTTTTGTAGGTTTGTTTTAATGTGGGTTCTTCCATTGTAAGAAAATCTATTTTGAAGCAAGTGTTCATAAAAACAAAAGCAAATACTGACTCTACAGAGCATTACTGGGTGCCTACTATATGAGCTATGATGAAATCATGCTGTCTAATACCGCCCTCCAGGGGGATGTGAAGGCCTGGGGATAGTTCCTTCATGTGATATCCCTGGGTTGGTCCAAATTTTAAGTTTATAGGGAAGATTTTTTTTAATTGACACCACCTACAGATTGACCTTTTTGATATGTAGATTGCTTTCCTGTGGAGAGATTTCATAGACTGTTTTGATTGAATGGAAAGCATTATCTTTTTCCTTATTTTAAAATTTTTTCCTTCCTTCTTTCCTTCCTTTCTTTCTTTTTTTTTCCTATTAGTACCTGGAAAATCATATTAAATAAAACTGCGATTAAAGAAATAGATATGGAATGTGAGAAATGTAAAACATATCTTTAAGTCGGTTAGTATATTACTGATAAAAAGGCTTTTGACTTTTTAAAAGTAAAATTTGCTTATTTAAAAATATTCATTACTGAAGAAAATAATTTTTTAAAATATTTTATTCTACAGAAAGGCAGAGAAGCAAGCAGCATGATAAAGCCATTCATCATAGTCAGCTTAAAATTGGCAAAGCTCATGCCAAGCATGGGTTCTGTGGAAGATTTCATGGTCAATTAGGTAAATATATGTATAAAACGGACCCAGCACTGAAGATCACAAAGCCAATTACTGATCATGTTTAATTTCACCCTCCTAAGTCCCAGAAGTAATTTTTCTGCTCATAGTTTTAAGATATCCAAATAAAATGTACAGTCAACATTTTTAAACACTATAGAAAGCTTTATAATATTTTATATTGTAGAGTCATTAGTTCATAAGTATTGTTAGATTGAGTCTTCTATACTTCTGAGAGGTTTTCAAGAAACCCCAGCTAAAACTGCCTAGAGTATTTTTCATGATAGCATGATGGACATAAGTGTACAATTTAAGTATGTATTTTTCTTTTTGAAATATAAATTTAAGGCACACGGTTAGTTGTTTGCATTTGTGCAAGACTCAATTTATATTATAGAAAACCTGCTGACTAGTGTTCCATTCAGCAGCATTCTGTCCTACCATTTCATGCATGTCTGTATTCAAACTAGAATAGTATTAAATGAACCATTTATATTTTAAATATTCAAGAGTTTTATATTCAAAATTTCTTCTCTTACTGTCAAACTGGTTTGCCTAAAGGCAAGGTAAGATCAAGTTAGACTCTCAAAGGTAGAATTAAATTTTATCATGGCATCCATCATAATATACAGTTTGCTTAATATGCAAATAAAGAGCATATGGATACAGAGAATAAAGGATTTTTAGGTAGTGTGTGAAATCCAAGGGACCACTTTTATGGAATAGATTCCTTTTAAATTTACATTTCCATCATTTTAATGAAAACACAGGGTAAACATATTATAATGGAAATGTTTTAAGTTACCATTTTCCATTCAATTTTACTTCTACTGTGTTATTTTTCATGGCAGCTCTTTATTTAAAACTAATAAAAATAGAAGAGAAGAAATAAAATAAATATATACTAAAGAAATCATTACCTCGGCCTGTTTGGAGAGTTCCATCCAGTCATTTTTGTTGTAACTGCACATGATGCTGGCAATCACGATCTTTAAAAAGAAATAAGAAAGAATATCAGCTCAAATAGTTATGCCACTGTACACAAGGATATATTAATATACATGTATATATTTATAATGGTAAACTATATTAAAAATTAGTTTTCAATCTGTTCAAAGACAAACTATTAAAAAACAGTGGTTGTTACAGTCAAGCAAAGGATGAGATTTGGGGCTTTAGATTTATGTTACAGACTTTCTCATTGACTATCTTTGAATACTTGAGCAAGTTACTCAACTTCTCTGATCCTCAGCATTCTCATTTTTAAAATGGAGATAATTATACTGACTTTGCCAACCTCAGAAAGTGATAGTGGGAATTAAATACATTGTGTATGTGAAAGGATTGTCTAAATTATACGATGTCATAGAAATGTTTATTAATACAATTACTGGTATAACTAAAAGGTTTCAAGGTATGGGAAAGAAATAAATTAGTGTCGTCTTCAATCATATCTTATTATAGCATGGATAATAATACCTTACATATTCATACTTCATAGTTTTAAATTTTGCTAAATGTTGATTGTTTAACTACAGTCTTACTCCCAATAATGGAGGCTAAATACAGTGGTAGTTACAAGTACCTGCTCTGAAGCCAGAATGTCCAGGTTAGAACTCTGGCTCTACCACTTACTGTGTGGCAAGATATATAGCTGCCTCACTGGTTAAATATGCATAATAGTACTAGCTACTTAGAAAAGTAATAATAGATATTGTTAAGACTTAAATAGTTCTTATGATGTGCTAGGTACTATTTGAATGTTTTTTACTGTATTAACTTCCTTAATCATGCCCAACGCTAGTCTTCCCATTTTACAGATGAAGATGCTGAGGCACTGGGATATAAAGGTCACACAGCTAACAAGGAGCAGAGACAGGATTTAGACCCAGGCAGTCTGACTGGGAGTCTGTACTTGTAACCACTGGCTCTTGCTGGCCCAAAGTAAGTATTCAATACATGTCAGTAATTCTTTTTTTATTATTACCATTTAAAGACTATGAGATTAAGACACAAAGAATCTGTGCCAACCCTAAAGTCACAGAGCCTAGTGGGAGAGTCCAGTAAAAGCCACTGCGCTCTCACCACATACAGCTTTTTAATGTACATCAAGGAAAAAAAAAAGACATCATAAAAGTCAGATGAATGCTTTAACATTAAGAGAAGGACAGAAAATAAGTTGTGATCATATTGGAGAGAATTCTGAAAACCAGGGAGACAAGCCTGTCCTTAATGTTGGGTTAATTTTTTTCTCCTGATAGACTATAATCTCCATGGGAGCTGGGACTGCTCTGCATCATTCATCATTTTATCTGCAATAACCAGCATGATGTTTGGCACATAGTAAGACTGAGTGAATAAATGAATGAGGTCACCAAAGGTTTAGGAGCAGGGAGTTGCTTTATTAGCTCATCCTTTTAAGAAGATTAAGCAGAAATGAATATCATGAGTTAGAGAAGAAAAAAAACAATTGGTGAAAACTGCTGGCCAATAATTATTCTACGAGTTGGAGTGAAGAGTGATCAGGGCTGATACGGCTGTTGGCCTTGGTGATGGAAAAAAGGGTCAGATGTTAAATTACACAGGACTCATGAACTAGAAGAAGCAATTTAGAAAGAAGAACCAAAGATCTGAGTCTGAATCTGAGTAACTGAGAAAATCACAGATCGTTAGTCAGACAAAGATAGAAGGACATCAGAAATGAGGAAGTCAAGAGAAACAGATTCAGATAGATTCCTCTTCAGAGAAAGGAACAAAGAGAGGAAAGAAAACAGTAGATGATGAATAGAGGAGGAAAATTAAGAATGCCTAATTATTTTTGGTTGAGTTCAGGATTCAATCTTTGTGTCCGGGGAGGATGCAGCTTTTAAGAAGGTGGGAGAAAAAGGCAAGAATGTTTCATGGCCTCTTCTCTAGGGGCTAAAAGAAAATGAAATGTCAAATTCCAAGCTTGCCCATTTGCAAACAGAAAAGGGTCACCAGCGTAATTATGCATCTTCACTAAGAGATGCTCTTTCTGCCCTTTCCACGTAATCTAAGATGTCAGGGATAATCTGCCCCACTCCCCAGTTAGAAAATGGACCAGGGAGGAAGTACCACAGGGGACACTAGATCTAGAACTACACCTAATACCTCCTGGTAAGTAGCCCTTGCATGAAATAAACAGAGCCCCATCTAAAAGGAAAATCAACTAAGATGAAGCCTACCGGCAAATGACAGATTCCTATTGTGCTCAGTGGTCTCAAGGTCAGGTAAAAAAACAAAAACAAACACATATAAAAAACAAACAGAAAACAACAGTTAATCTGAAGATTTAGGGAACGGGCAGAGCCCCCAGGTTTGCAGGTTTGTTGCTAAAACCTCAAGGACAGCGGCAGATCCAAACATCCAGACTGAAAATAAGATTTTAGCACTAGATGCTAGTTCTCCTGTGGTGAAAGTGACAAACAATAGACCGGGGTTTTTAGGGAGTTTTATTACTTAAAACAAGACGAGACAGAAACAAGAAAAAAAACAAACAAAAACCACCTCCAAGCATGGCAAAGTAATTCCCAACTTCACATTCCCATGCAAACATGAAGCGGCTGCTAAATCAGCGTGGTGTCCCCCACTCCAATGCCCCTCTCAGGGTGCCACGGAGGACAACAGGGAAGATCCTTCTAGTAGGCAAGGTCCAGCTAGGCAGACGGGCTGACTAAAGAAATCCACTGCCAGGGAAGTAAGGTTTACAAGCACTGACAGCAGGATATGATATATGCTCTCAACTAGTGACTAACACGGTTCCTCTCTCCTCAACGGCAATTTTAATTTCAATAAAGCTGTTTTTGCTTCAAACATGTATTGATTGTGCCGGCGTTGGTTAAAATCATCATTTGCCCTATAGATCCTGAGGATCATGAGGAGCTACAATTGGGCTTGATGGAGAGAAACAAATATCATCCAGAGAACTGTCCTGAATGCCTGGGGATGTGGTGACTGAGTATGATGTGGGCCGGCTCTCCTTGGGGAAGGGTGACCACAGGTGGGAGAGACACATGTTAAGCAGAGGCGGGTCTTGGCGAGACGACAACTCTCTTCTCTTTTCCCCATCTTCTGAAAACAGATTTACTTTCTTTCCCAAAAAGCTAGAAAGTAGCCCAGACAGGGCTAATGATAGTGATTGGTTCCCATCCAAGTGCTTTACTGGAGCTGGGAAGATAAAAGCTTCCTTTCTTCTTTGTTGAGAAACAATTTTCTCACTGGTTCCTAAACTGGAATGAAGCGTGTTCAGAGCACTGGTGACCACTGACTGACTCCTCACTTAAGGAAACCCTCCCAGCCCAGCCCAAAGCTAGCTGCACTGAGAAAAAATAAAGCCGACAAAGAAAAGTCAGGATGCGAGATTGCGAGAGACCTACGTTACAGCCACTTTTAAGCCAGGCGTACCACTAACATGCTTGCACACGTGAACTAATAAATACCAGTTTTTGGCTCAAGAAAATTCAAGTTATATTCTGTTTTCTATTACATAGAATTTTGACAATTACTACATGCAAAACTAAAATTGTCATTTTTGAAATAACTTCCTAAGAAATTTCTTAACAGTCAATTAAATTTAAAGGAGAAAAATAACTTTATACATTATTTAAAAAATGCTGAACGGTCTAAGAAGTTTAAATATCTTTATCTAAAACCAAGAGATGGTTTGTGAAATATATGGTGGCATTCTATTTCAGAGGAATAAAAATGACCCCAAAATAATTTTATTCTCTATTAAAAGAGATTAGGATTTTTCAAAGAGTCAGGCTAAAAGATATTAATGGTAAAAAGACACTGGGCATAATTTAATCTTTCTTTGATGATTAGAAAGCCCTTCAGTGTTTCACTGTGCTTAGTTTTTAATCAAGCAGGAGAGGACAGGTTATTTTTTTTTCCTATGAAAAAAGAGAATTGATGGATATTACATATTGTGAAACATCATGCAATGTTACTAGAAATGATTACCCAGTGAAACATATTTTAAAATCAGAGTAACTTTTCTCCATATACCACTTAATTTATGCCATTTGTAGTGCTTCATTTTTTAATGGCTCATATTTTAAAACATTATTGGATGAGTTTACATGTAAAAGCCAAATACTATGTAGTGTTTGAACTACATTTTACATTTATGACACATAGTCTGGTGAGAGATTCAAACAATGTCAGTTAATCAATTAAGAAGCAAAGTGAGCACCTACTGTGAGTGGCATCAAATGACATACAATAGGAGTTTAAGACGTTGACTTAGAGTCTTTGTTCATTCAACATTCAACTAATTTCTTGAGCACCTACTATGTGCCAGTTACTATTCTAATTCAGAAGTGATGAATAAAACAGTAAGCCCTTCTGTAGCTTACATTTTAGGGAGGGAAAATGTCCTAGCAGGTAAAACAATACATTGTTAGGATGATTTCCAAGTCAAGATTATTGTTATGAAGGCAATAATAAAGGAGAGCATGATGGAGAATCACTGGGGTGCATAGGGCCCTGTCAGGTGATGGTCAGCAAAGGGATCTCTGCGCTGAGAACTGAAAGGTAAGAAGGCACCTCACGATGAAGAATGGAATGTGGAATTGGGTGAAAGCTGGCGTTTGAGGTAGAGGAAATTGCACGTGCAAAGACTCTGAGGTAGGAATGAGTACGGTATACTTAAGAAAAAGAGAAGGCCTATGTGGATGGAGTTTCACGATAGGGCAAGAAGACTACAAACGAAAATGAGACGAGCAGGCAGCAGCCGTATCTCTGGGAGCTGAGCCCTGTGGGAGTTTGGGTTTTATTGTAGGTGTAATGGGAGGCCACTGAAAGGTTTAAAGGAGGATGATAAAATGATCTGATCTACATTTTCAAAAGATGCTTCTGACTACTTGATAGGTAATGGAACTGAGCGGGTTTTAGGGTGAAAGCAAAGAGTCCAGTTAGGTTGAAATACTGTGGACTACATAATATCCATGGAGACGCAGAGAAGTGG